TATTCTGCGAATGCGTTAGTTTTATTACATACACGTTTCATTTATTCTACGAATGTGTTAGTTTTATTACAGATACGTTTAATTTATTCTGTGAATGTGTTAGTTTTGTTCACATTTATGAATACATAAATGCTTTCTTAATATGCTGTTTTTTTGAAGATACAGTATTTCAATTCCATGCTGTTTAATTGAATTCATTTATTATGTGAAAGTGTTAATTTTTATTTGAGGTTAAGTTGTTTTAAAGGCTTTTGTCACCTGTACTGTTCTTTGAGAGTCATTCTTCTAATTTTGAGTGACAGTTGTACAATTTTAGTTTTATTTACATGTTTATTTATTTTTCTTGCAGTTAACAATCCGTTTCCGGAACTTAATGTTGGGACTCTTTAGTTTTCTCATTATTTTATTACGTTCTGCTAACCTCTGCAAACAAGTGAGTGAGTGAGAGTGAGGTTTTTGGCGCAAAACCAAAGATGATTATCAGGCGCCAAACACAAGGTGGGATGATCAAAATTGATGAAATTAAAATACAATAAATAAAAACAGCTGGACAAATGTACCAAATCCATAGGATGAAGTCATATAAAACATGGTAAAAGCACACATTAAAATCCAAGACACAGTCTTCAAAACAAATTATATTAGGTAATAAAAGCCATTCTCTTTTAAAAAATAAAATAAATTACATAAATTACATTAAATAAAATAAATTACAATTATGGCTTCTCTTCCGATTAAACGGTCGAGAGGTAAGTCACAGCTATTAAAATATTTCTGACAAAGACTATTGAAACATGGACACTCACTTAAAATATGACGGCAGATAAATAAACATTACAATTAAAACACATAGGCTCATTTTCAGCTTTCAGAAGATAGTTATATGTCACTCCTAGTGTGACCAATTCTGAGGCGAGTCAAAAGAACTTCCTCCTTACGATTTTCAGCAAAATCACAATGCTCATTTCTAGGCTTTACATTTCTCGACTTGTTGTGAAGCTGCACGTCCCAGATTTGCTGCCATTTTTTTTTCGGATCTTTCCCTTGATGACACAGCATATGTCTCTGAAAGGGATAAGGCGACTAGACAGTTCAACACCAGATTTTGCTGCGATATCTGCAAGCTCGCTTCCCTTTATTCCCGGGAACCTAGCAGTACAGGATTTCATGTCCTTGAATCGTTAAGTTTATAGGAATTTTGAGAACATCCACTACAACAGGATTCTGAGTATTTGGAAAAGCTTCCAACGATTTAAGAACACTATACGTGTCTGTATAAACTATGAACGTTTTGTGGCACAGCTTTGAGACATACAAAAGGCCATAATACAGTCAAAAGTCGTTAATTCGGACACCCATAATTCGGAATGATCTATAATCCGGACATCAAAACTAAAAACTTTCTGCGCATGCGCCGCGTTGACACATGCGCAGAGGCGTTCACGCGTGCGCGTAAGACCTTTTACGACTGCGCATATGAGTGTGCGCAAGTGCAGAATACGTTTTCGCGTGCGCATTTTATGTATAATGGACGTATAAGCTAAATAATTATCTATTTCAGTTAATGTTGATGATTGCGTTGTTCCTTAATTTTCGAATTGCATCCGGCTTATTATTTTTTGCAGAGACTGTAAGAGCAATTTTATAAAAAGCTTAAACTTTCGATTATATCAATAGAATTTCCGATATATATTTGTTAATATGTAAAGGATCTAAAGCGAAAGTATGTTTTGAAATCCGAAATCTGTTTATCATTTTCACGCTGCTCGGCGGCGGGCGCGTAATGAATTGGAAGTTGATTTGTCAGCACTATCCTTATCTTCAGCGCAGATGTTTTTATTTTATTTGGCTTATAATTCCTTACCAAATGTAGTATTTCATCTCGATATGCTCCGTCTTTGATATGATTTAAAACAAGTTCCTCGTCATTATAATTCGCTTCCGATAGCGAAGAAAAGTGACAGAGGTTATTGAAAACAAAAAAATTTCGATTGACAAATTAGTCGGTGTTCTTGACACAGCAATTATAGGACTTGAACGGCGGAACTTTGTAACTGAACAAGAAATTATGTCTGTTTAATAGAATTAAAGAGAAAGTATTATCACATGAAACGAAGCAAAACTTAAACAACTCACATTGAAAGAAATGTTTAATAAAGTAAACAAATAAATATTAAGCTTTTTCTTTTTGCAAATTTTCATACCCTTTAGATCATAATTGTTCTTTATTTCATAAATTACGGTTTCATATTTTTAATTTTGGAATTTCTGCATGCCATCTTACGAGATTTAAACTGATGATCTATAATCCGGAAAAATCGATAATCCGGAATCGCCGAAGTCCCGACGAGTCCGGATTAACGACTTTTGACTGTATATTGCGGTTAGTTCAGATGTTAGAACTGAAAAAGCATAGTGCAGGCATCTGCCCTCTGTAATCTTGAAATACAAATGACATTTCATTTGACCCGACATGATCATCTGACTTGGATACATCTGTATATATCGGATAATAACTGCTATATTTGTGCCTGTGCTCAGGGAAGAGTTGTCTGTAAATGATCTCGTTAGTGCTTGCCTTCACGTGATGCTTGAAAACATCAAGAAGCTGAATGCGTGCATTTTCCCAAAGTGGGATTTCATGAAAACATCAAGAAGCTGAATGCGTGCATTTTCCCAAAGTGGGATTTCAAAATTCTGTACTGCTTGGGGGCGCATATCAGACAGGAAAGTTCCTCAATGACAGGGAAAACTCTTAAAAGAAAGGTAGGAACACAGGATGGACGTGTTTCAAATAAAGTGTTACACACATTATCAAGTAAGCACAGCGTATTGGGATGTTCAGGTTGCGATAGAATATTAAAATATTGCAAAAGGGACAATTGCTCACGCCTCAGATAAAGTGATGGTTCGTTGAGTGATGGTTCGTTAGTCAACATTGAGCCTCTGGACAGGAGAAGTCCTAAAAGCTCCTGAACAAATCCGCAGAGCTTGATGGTGAACATGATCTAGTATTAATAATACTGATGACCGAGAGAATCCGTAAACATCTGTAAACAAGTAACTTGTTATGTTTGTCTGTCCTGAACTTTGTGCTTAAAAATTGAAGGCCAATAATCTGGATGATTAGGAACACTAGATAGTTTACCTGAAAGAAATATATATAGGATTGGACACAGAACAAAAAATAGCATTAGCTTCTATTTTGATATTTTATATATTAATACTTTCCTATGTACTCTTTGAAAATATTGCAACTTTCATAATCTATGAAAACTAAGAGCAAAAATTACGGTTAAAATATATTAAACAAATGCTGAGTAATTTTGAATTAGTGCAGTGAATATCATTTTAATTCCAAAAATAAACCAATATAACATGAAAAAAAAGAAGAAAAAAAACGTCGCAAATATTTTTTTTTAAAAAAGTGGTCGAATGAATGTAAGGCTTTTTAAGATTTTAATATATTTAAATATTTCTAGATGCTTAAAAACCGAAAAAAAAATCTATCTACAGATCATAAAACAATACGTGACATCTTAAAACATAACGAATCATTAGTGTCCCGGTGAGAACATAACATAAACAGGCGAAAATCGACGCCAAAGTATCGCCAAACACCACTGATACATTCTTCATAATTTTTGTCAAAGATCTTTATGATATATGTTTACATATCCACTACTATGATATAAAATGCTTATAACTATTAAATGAATAATAGAATCTAAATTTATAATAATAATATATATCATCAATAAAATGAGTACTGCAGAGAGTAGATGAATTATTCGCAGTCCAGTTTTTTCTACGAACGGCAGCTTCTCAAAGGCGCTTACATGATTACATTATGATCTAAAGCAGCGTTTCCCAACCTTTTTTGGCCAAGGCACATTTGTCGCGGGGAAAAAAATCACGAGGCACACCACCATTAGAAAATGTTAAAAAATTAACTCTGTGCCTATATTGACTATAATAAAGTAATTCTCTTGAGTAGGAATCAAATAAGCACAAAGAAAGTATTTTATAATTACTTTATTATGAAATATTAAGTAAACAGAATAGTGAAAAATTATAAAATACTTTCAGTGCGAAACCTGGGCCTGTTTGGCTGAACACAAAGCTGATATTCTGGCTGGAATCGAAGAAAGACACACACGTAGCTCTTCGTCAACAGTTCTCAGTCTCTCTCTGTATTTGGTTTTCATAGCAATCATGCTTGAAAAGCTAATCTCACACAGATATGTAATGGAAAAAGGGAACAATGTCAAAATAGCTTTGTTTGCCAGAAGGGGGAACTCCTTGGCAGTATCCAACCAAAAACTGTCCAAAGGTAGATCAGCAAATCTTAGCTTGCAACCACGATTTTGTCTCAGTTCAATTAGTTCCTCCTGCTCCTGTAAAGTCATTTCCTTTCCAACAACTGATGCTGAGCTATAAGGGTCCCTAACCCAGTCAAGGCATTCAGTGGAGAGTGAAGAGAAATAAAATGACAACTTCTCCTCAAGAGTTTTTAAATGCTTAACTATTATCTCACACAGTGCAGCAGTGTGAACACCTTGCCATTGCATGGTGAGTGTGAACATTTCAAGATTGCCACTCTCCATGTGTTGATGCCAGAGTTGCACCTTTGAACGGAATCCATTAATTTTATCTGTACTTGTAAGCAGGTTTTCATTTCGGCCTTGCATTCGGGTGTTCAGTTCATTCAGATGATGAAATATATCTGCCAGGTATGCCAGCCTTGCACACCACTCATCACTTGCAAGCTGCTTTGCGTAATCTGACCTCTCATTTGTCAGAAACACTTTAAGTTCCTCCCGCAGCTCATACACACGAACCAAGACCTTGCCACGCGACAACCACCGGACCTCCGTATGAAACAGCAAGGTTTTTATGCTTTGCTCCCATCTCCTCACACAAAGCTGCAAATATGCGACTTTTCATGGGTCGTGACTTTACAATGTTTACCATGCGCACAACATCATCCAACACATGAACTAAGGCTGATGGTAGTCTTGGCTACGAGGCCCTCGCGGTGTAAAAAACAATGCGTAATAATCTGGATTTCTTTCCTTCACTCTGCTTACAAGGCCTTTGGTGCGCCCGATCATGGCTGCAGCTCCATCGGTGCAGACACTTGTGCAGTTTTCCCACTTAAGTCCTCCTTGTTCAAGGTATTCTGATGTGACCCGAAAAATTTCTTCTCCTGTTGTTTTTTCTGGCAATACCTTGCAAAAAAAGAAGTTTTCTCTAATTGCATCACCATCAACAAAACGCACATTAGCTAAGAGTTGAGCATGTCCACTGATATCAGTAGACTCGTCAAGTTGCAATGCAAATTTCTCACTGATACGGATCTTTTCCAAAACCACACTTTCGATGTCTGCAGACATGTCATTAATACGTCTGGAAATTGTGTTGTTTGAGGAGGGACTTTGGCTATTTCCTTTGCTGCTTCAGGTCCGAGCATCTCCTCTACAATAGCTTTGCAGGCAGGAAGTATTAATGTCTCTGCCACAGTGTGCGACTTTTTTGTCTTGGCTATAAGTTCAGCAACTTGATAGCTAGCTTTAAGAGCTCTTTCATTTACCTTTGTTGTTTTTCTCATAAAAGTTGCCTGTTTCTCCATGTTGTCACGCAGGCGAACAAAATAGTCCACATTCTTGTTTTGAAGCAAAGGGTGTTTCATTTGGAGATGGCGTTTAAGTTTGCTTGGGACCATAGCAGGGTTAGCTAGCTTTTCACCACACACCACGCACAGTGGAGTTGGTTTGTGTTCATCTCCAGTGAAAGTAAATCCAACTGAAATATAGCTTTCGCTATATTGCCTTGCGCCAGAGAATTTAACCATCTTTGCTTTCTTTTGACCCCCACTCATACTCGGGCTCTCATCTGGCTCCAGATTTTGTTCAGAGTCCAGTTCTTTCCTTTTCAAAAACTTGTCCATCACTGCAGTATCAGTGTCTCTCTCCTCACAGCAGCCGTTGTCTCTCTGACACTGTGTGAGGCGTCTGCCTGCGTCTCATGGGGGCGGGGACACGGCGGACACTTGTCAAGATTGGCAGGGGGAGGAGTTATAGCACTGCACAGCGCCGAGACCACCTATGACACTGGCGGGGGGAGTGACGGGAGGAGTTATAGCGGGCGAACAGCACCGTGACACCCAGACCCGGCGGCACACCACGGTGCTACAGACGGCACACTGGTGTGCCGCGGAACAGCGGTTGGGAACCGCTGATCTAAAGGGTATCAAAATTTACAAAACAAAACAAAAAAAGGCTTAATATTTATTTGTTTACTATATTAAACATTTCTTTCAATGTAAGTTGTTTCAGTTGCTTCGTTTTATGTGATAATTCTTTCTCTTTAATACTATAAACAGACCTAATTTCTCGTTCAGTACAAAGTTCCGCTGTTCAAATCCTATAATTGCTGTGTCGAGAATACCGACTAATTTGTCAAACGAAATTTTTTCGTTTTCAATAACCTCTGTGTCACTTTCTTCACTATCGGAAGCGAATTATAATGACGAGGAATTTGATTTAAATCATAAAGACGGAGTACATCGAGATGAAATACTACATTTAGTAAGAAAATACAAGCCAAATAAAATAAAAACATCTGCCCTGAAGATAAGGATAGGGCTGACAGATCAACTTCCAATTCATTGCGCGCCGCGGCGTTTTCCCCCCCCCCCCCGCCGTAGAGCAGCGCAGCGTGAAATTAACAAACCGATTTCGGAATGGTAGAGAAACAAAGAATATGCCTTTATCCATTTTTTCCAGCAATTCCACTTTTTGTTTGATGGACATCGAAAGATACGTTCGATTTGTAGATCCTTTTGGAGCTCCAGCATCGGAAATTCTATTTGACATAATCGAAAGTTCAAGCTTATTGTTATAAAATTGCTCTAACAGTCTGCAAAAAATAATAAGCCGGATCCAATTCGAAGATTAAGGAAAAACGCAATCTGCAACATTAACTGAAATAGATAATTAGATAATTTTAGCTTATACCGTCTGTTATACATTAAACGCGTATACGTAAACGTATTATGCGCATGTGCACACCCATATGCGCAGCCGTAAAGGTCTTACGCGCATGCGTAAACGTGACGCATGCGCAGAAAGTTTGTAGCTTTCAGGTCCGGATTATAGATCATTCCGGATTATGGGTGTCCGAATTAACGACTTTTGACTGTATTATGGATTTCCGCTACAACAATCGGGAGGTAGGCAAGTCGGTATGAAATTAAAATATTACTACTAAATCGTAAAATGAAATAAGAGTAAATAAGCGCAAATGCATTTAAGCAGTCAGTAAAATCATAAAAATGCAAAATAGCATTAAAATAGTTATAATGGAGCTGCTGTAGCACGTGGTTGTGCTCAAAATCCGTGAAACCATACTCACAATGAGAACCGGATGTTGCTCGCAGAAGCAAAGAATATAAGTGGGAGAAGAAGGTATGCTCTTGTAGAAATAATGTAAATCAGCCTACCTGAAGATGATAGATTATGTAGAGAGTGATAGATGATAAATAGTTGCAGTACTTAAATAGTAATTTATGAGATATTACTCATATTTTAGAAAATGCAGGTTCTCTCCACGTGAATGTTTCTGAGAATTTTCAAAAATTCTTAGTGAAAAGAATTTCATCATTTACCAACAAGCATTGAATTAGTGCAAGCTGCCTTAACAGCTTTTATTTTAATTTTAGTTTCAGAGAAGTCCTTCTTCTGGTCTTTAGTCAAAAACCCATACACTACTTGAGCTCATGTGTCAAACTTGCTCAGTGTAGCAAAATTTGTTTAATCTGTCCATTAAATGTTTAAAGCAACGTACACTATCATCATCTATCTAATAGAAATGATGTTCTCATGGATGAATTGATTAGGAAAATTCATTCATATTTATGATATATATGGATAAAATCATAAACACATCCATGTCTCAATTTTTTGCCAGACTTTGAACAGCCACTAATAAGCAATTTTATTTTCATCATCACTGCAGTTATTTATTTGGAAAATATCAATTTTATTGACAACAAACACGCTAATTTTTGAACCTGCAATATTATTACTCATACAAAATGCAATAATATCACTTCGTACACAGTTTACATACACTTATAAATGATGAAAAAATAAAACAATATCTTATTCATGTTAACTCGTTGAAGCAAATAATAATATAATGGTATAAATGCGTGCATATAACTTCATTACTCATATTTCTTTTCAGCCATATGTGTAGATTGCTTTTAATGCCAATAAGCATTTGTATTTAGTACAATTCTGTACCAGTTTATGAATGAAACTGCATGGAATCATAAATAAAACACATACAATACTGCAATTAACTGTCTTGTAAATTGTAATTAATATTTAGATTTGATATCTAAATAGTTTATATTTAGATAAATTATAATTTATATTTTAGATTTCAGTTCATTAATTTATATGTAACATATATTTAGTGGATGGAAATTTAAGTACTTGCATGTATCTCTTATTTTTACCTGATTCTTTTAGCACATTACATGTCAGCATCCATAACTGATATTTGGTACGAACTATACATAACTGTTACTTGGTAAGCACTATATTTTATAACCTTAGAAATGCAATTCAAATTTACAGTTTATGCAGATTTTTGCTTGAAATGCACCTTCACTTAAATAATTTTCTCCTACTCATCTGGGACGATAATTCAAATCATTTTCGATCCATTAACTACTAGCAATAAATGGAAATGAGATGTGTATACTAAGGGACCAGAATCTTACCAAAGATATTATATCTGTGAAGAAAGGGGGGGGAGAGGAATATTTTGATTCGAGATGCCTGTTTTTGAGCAGTGATACAGTAGAAATGATGTATTGTATATATTAATTTTATCTTGCTAACAAAAGTACTTAATTAAATGTCAATTTAAATAAAAGTACTTTAATTAATGCCAACTTATATATACCTCATCTATAACTAATAGGACCAATAAATTTTATAATTAATACTCAAACTATTTATAATTTTTTGATTAGCTTCCCATTTTGAATATAAAACACATTCTAATACAAGTATTTTGTACATGCATTGATTTTATGTCTTTGCATTAGGGTCTTCTTTACCCCCATGTGGCCACTAAACGAGCAATGTGCTAACAGCAAGACTTCCTCCCTTTGACTGTTAGGTACAGCTAATTGCCCCACACTTTCCCGAAGAATTTTGTCCTTATGAAAGAGAAAGTTATCCACTGTATAATAATTCCCCTTTCCTTTGAGCATTCTCCCATGCTCCTACCAAAGATTCACAAGTCTCCTGCTCTCTTCAAAATATATCTGCTGTACATAGTCTTCCTGGCTGAGGTTATTGGCTTTCACTTGATTCCACTTTCCCTTTCTCATTGAGATTCCTTTCCTCACTAGTATTTCCTTCTAGTTTCCCCATTTTTACTTTCACAGACTTTTCCTTTCTCCTAACCTCTGGGATGTTTGTGATTTCTTCAGGTAAGTTTTCCACCCCTTCACCTGTGTCATATAACCGACCTCATAACATGGTGAATACTTACGGAAGAAGCAACACATCCTCTGCCAGCGATTCTGCAACTGCACACAAAATCTCTTGATGTGTAACATTGGCACTTTCTCCTACAGTAATACTCAGTGGAGTATTTACCAAAGGGCATTTAACAGCTGGACCAAATTATACCCTTCAAATATATACTCCATCCTTCCTCCAGTTGCAGACTTTTGGTTAACATTTTCTTAACCACCGTAATTTATGTTCCTGAATCAACGAGGGCCTTCCTTATTGTTCCATTCACACTAATAAGAACCTTTTCAATTTAACAGCTTATAGCTGTTTACATCCCCTTACTTCCTCAAAGGATCCACATGAGCTACCACAACTTTGTCCTCTAGGAATGATATTAAAAGCTGAACCACATACAAAACATATTAAACCTTTAACGCTCCCTGTGTTTTCCCTATGGTTTCTGACCCATGCCGACCGCCTCGTCTCTCTTCAACCTTAGGTTTCTCACCTACTGCCTGATTTAAAATCTTAGTTTCCCAAGCTTCCCTACGTACGTTGTAGGACTTCCCTTTAGCCGCAAAGAATATGTCACACTCCTTTCCAAGCTCTCTTGGCTTGAACCACGAGTCTCCCTGCCTTATACCTATGTGTACTGCAGTTTCCGTATCAAGGGTCTGGTAGATTTTGTCCGCTACCACCAACTGATTAAGACCTTCAAAGTCTGTCACCCCCCTTGATTTCACATAATTTTCCCACATGGCAGTAACTCTAGTAGAAAACTGGCCAAAGGTCTCTTCTGAACTTCGTCTCGTTTTTCTGAAATTCTCCAGGCATACCTGAGGTGAAGGTTTTAAATTCGTTCAACACAGTTTCCTTTAGTGCATCATAATTCCCATACTTATCCTTGCTTATCAATCTTAATAAATTTGCCACTTTATCTGCCGAAAGGTAAATCAAAACTTTGGCCTTATACTCATTAGGGACACTTTCATTGACATAAGCTCTTTCTAAACTGGAGAAGAAATAGTCCCAGCCATCTGCTCTACTTGGAACTTTTACTGCCAATAATTCGATTGTCTTCGTTAACTCTTCCACTGATCTTTCCTTTCCATTCCCCCCCCTTCCGTCGGGTGTAGTACTCCTATTTGAGTAATGACCCTGACAATCTACCTTATACTTCTCAATGGCAATCTTCTTCTCTGCCTCTAACTTTAGTTTACATTCCCTTTCCTTCTCCTCCTTTGCCTCCCTATCTGTAATGATAACACTCAGAAGATCCTTTGCTACCTGCTCCTCATAGTTTCACTAGCAAGAACTTTTTCTCTCAAGTCCAAAATTTTAAATGTAGGCAACACTTCAACACCAAACTCTTGTGCAAGGGCGACTAGATCAGCCTTTCTAGATTTGG